GGGATTCTGTTTTGGTTGTTATTGCAGGGAGGGGGTGTGAGGGATGAATTGCGGGAAATGCGGGAGACACGGTCGAGGGCATTCTCGACCACTGAGGGGGGGAAGTTGCGGTCCTTGAAAAATGAGGACATCTCAGATGTTCGGGAGTGGAATGCCTCATCCTGGGAGCAGATGCGGCGGAGGCCATGGAATTGGGAATAAGGGATGGCATTTTTGCAGGAAGGTGGGTGGGAGGAGGTGTATTCTAGGTAGCTGTGGGAGTCGGTGGGATTGAAATGGATATCGGTTTCCAGGTGGTTGCCAGAGATGGAAACAGAGAGGTCCAGGAAGGAGAGGGAGGTATCAGAGGTAGTCCAGGTGAACTTCAGGTTGGGGTGGAAGGTGTTGGTGAAGTGGATGAACTGTTCAAGCTCCTCGTGGGAGCACAAGTGGGCGCCGATACAGTCATCGATGTAACGGAGGAAGAGGTGGGGTTTAGGGCCAGTGTAGCTACGGAAGAGGGATTGTTCCACGTAACCTACAACGAGGCAGGCATAGCTTGGCCCATGCAGGTACCCATGGCCACCCCCTTTGTCTGTAGGAAGTGGGAGGAATTGAAAGAGAAGTTGTTAAGGGAAACTGCAAAATTTCCAAGTTGCAGATGACAAAATCTGGGTGGGATGGTTTACTGTGAGAAAGATACAGAGATGCTTCATTGTGATTTGGACAAGTTGAGTGAGTATGCAAATATATGACAATGAAGTATAAACGTGGATAAATATGAAGTTATCCACTTCACTAGCAAAAATAGGAAGGCAGATTATTATCTGACTGATAACAGATTTGGAAAGGGGAAGGTGCAATGAGACCTGGGTGTCCTTGTACATCAGTCAGGGAAAATAAGTATACAGGTGCAGCAGATGGTGAAGACGGCAAATGGTATGTTGACCTTCACAGTGAAAGGATTTAAGTTAAAGAGCAGGGATGTCTTGTCACAATTGTCTTGTCATCTCATAGAATCATGAATCGTAGAAGCCATTTGGCCCATCAAGATCACACCTACCCTCCAAAAAGCATCACACTCCGACTCACCCCCTACCCTGTCCCCGTAACTCTGCATTTCCCGTGGCTAACCCATCTAGTCTGCACACCCTAGACACTATGGGCAATTTAGCATGGCCAATCCACCTAACCTGCACATCTTTGGACTGTGGGAGGAAACCAGAGCAGACACAGGGAGAATGTGCAAACTTCACACAGACAGCCACCGAAGGCTGGAAACCTATATGCGTTTTTGGTCTCATTATCTGAGGAATGACATCTGGCTGTGAAGGAATGCAACAAATGTTTGCCAGACTGATTCCTGGCATGGCAGGACTGAAATCATGAGAGAGATTGAACTGGTTACGAGAAGCCTATAAAATTCAAACAAGAACAGGGTAAACACGATGTTCTCATTGGACAGGGAGTCCAGAACCGGAGGCTACAGTCTAAAGTAATGGGGTAGGCTACTGAGGACTGAGATGAAATGTTTTCATCCCAGACAGAAACCTGTTGAAGCCAAAACATGGAGTGTTTTCAAGAATACATTAGACATGGGTTTTAGGGCTAAGTGGATCAAAGAGTAAAGGGAAAAAGCAGAATTAGGAGATTGAGTTGGACACTCAGCTGTGTTCAAATTGAATTGTGGTGCTGGCTTGAGGGGCTCAATGGTTTATTCTTGATCTTTTCTTTCTGTTTCTGCAAAGACTACTATTTCCACACAAGAAATCTCTGTCAAACATTTACCAGGGGAACTGAGACAGCAGCTGCAATAAGTGAGATTTTATTCAGATGGGGCAATGACAAGTTTAAATCTCCACCTGATCCGCTGCTCAAAGTCACCTCCATTTCACCGGTCAGTTTCCCAAGCTTCAGGAAACTCATGTTGCTGCAGAAATATTTGGATTGACTGTGAGAGACGTCAATCAGAGAGCCCACCCACTCTGCCCATTGCCTCCTCTTCCTCTTCCAGAGCGGGTTCACTTCCTATGGGGACTGAAAACCAAGTGAGGAGATGGTGAGTGAAGGAGCAGCTTTTATACAAATTGTATCCCATAATATCCACACCAATCTTCAGGCAGTCTGACTATCCTGTGGGCAATCAGACGTGGAAATGTCCCTTATGCTGTGTGAGAAGATCCAGCTGAGAGAGCTGTTTACTCAGTGCTTTGTGCTAAACTGTTTGACTGGAGCTGTGTGTTGGATATTGAGTGTGTTTGTTGGAAGCATTTCCCTCTGATTTCCAGGCTCAGTTTCGTTAATTACTCAATTCAACTGCTATACCTGGAGACACATTGATTGAAATGTTATTTAATGTCATTTAGTGTCTCCTTTAAAGATTTTTTTCCCTGAAAGCTTTGGCCTTTCGCAAAAGCCTGGGCTTGGATTTGATCATTTAGCCCAGTGCTGTCACTGACAGCTGAATTTGGGATGTGCAGTCTGAGTGAGTGTGTTGAATCTAATTTCCCAAGATAAATCAGATTCTTTCAATCAGCTACTAGGAAGCAATATTTTCTGCACCTTCTAGCACTTCCTGCTCTGTGTTTTCTTCACTTTGTTTTTCGCAAACAAGGCGAAACATTTTAACATATCCATTGAATTATCATTGAGTACATATTTATAATAAACAAATACTTTCAAGGTAAAACTTTACGACAGCACATCTTGACCAACCATCAACTGACGGCTCATTTTGCACTCTACCCAACTGTCTTTTTTATTGCCTTCTCAGTGCCTGAGAGGATTGGGGAGCTGGGGAGGAGCTGTGGAGGGGGAAGAAAGTTACCTCATTATCCGCTTCTGCTCACTATCCAGTGCCCTTGCTGAAAACAGTGTTTGTGCAACAGTTGAGTGAGAAAAAAGGACTTGGAACGAAAAGATTTACTAAAATGCTACCTGTACTGTAAGGTTTTGGCTAGAAGGAGAGAATTGATAGGCTGAGACTTTTTTCCCTGAAGTGTAGGAGAGTGAGTGGTCACCTTATAGATATCTATAAAATCATGAGAGGCATAGATAAGGTAGGTAGCCAACAGCTTTCCCCCATGGTAGGGAAGCCTAAAACTAGAGGGAATGGTTTAAGGCAAGAGAGGAGAGACACAAAAGGATCCAGAGGGGCAGTTTTTTTCACACAGAAGGTGGTGAATGTTTAAAAGGGGCTGCCAGAGGTAGTCTAGCATGGGGAGTGGTGTTGGTGATTAAAATTTTGTCATTTAAGAAACATTTAGACAGGTCCATGGACCTGTAGGTATTTGCATCTGTAGGTACTTTTACAAAATTGAATGAGCTGCCCCACAGACAGACAAATAATAATCTGACATAGTCGAACTGAATCACACCTTGCCGACTTTGTCCCAGGAAAGACCTTCGCCAGTCCTGGGCATGTCTTGATAACAGGGCAGATATTGTCACACTGACAGAATCATGCCCTACAATGTCCCACACAACCATCACCATTCCTTGGCATGTCCTGACAACAGTCTGACATAGTCATGCTAACAGAGGGATATGGACCATTGCAAGCAAATGGGATTAGATTAATTGTGAAAACTGGGTAGCATGGACAAGTTGGGCCAAAGGGCCTGTTTCCATACTGTAAACCTCCAAGACTTATATCTGATCTCTCTTACACCAGGGAATAGCAGACTGGCACTCACTGTGGAATTGAGGAGGTGGTGGTGACATGGTACTGAACTCAAAATCCAGAGGCCCAGGAGAATGTTTACATGACATGGATTGAAACCCACCACAGCAGCTGGTGGAATTTAAATGCCACTGATAAATCTGGAATTGAAAGTCTTAGAAATGGTGGCCATGATATGAAGGCAATCTACCATCCTTACCTGGTCAGGCCTACATGTGACTCCAGACCCACAGCAACATGACTGACTGTCAAATATCACCTTAAATGGCTTAGGGAGCAACTTAATTTGTATCAAACTGTTATGAGGTAACAAAGGAATGAAACCGCATGAATAATCCAGCATTGATCTAGGCTCCAGAAACAACAAATCCACCCCTCTCAACCCTGAAGAGTCCTCCATTACTAGCATCTGTAGGTATTTTTACAAAATTGAATGAGCTGCCCCACAGACAGACAAATAATAATCTGACATAGTCGAACTGAATCACACCTTGCCGACTTTGTCCCAGGAAAGACCTTTGCCAGTCCTGGGCATGTCTTGATAACAGGGCAGATATTGTCACACTGACAGAATCATGCCCTACAATGTCCCACACAACCATCACCAGTCCTTGGCATGTCCTGACAACAGTCTGACATAGTCATGCTAACAGAATCATACTTTAAGACAATGTCCCATTACCATCCCTGGATATACCCGGTCCCCAGGACAGACTCAGCAGAAGTGGTGGAATAGTGGTATACAGTCAGGAGGGAGTTGCCTTTGGAGTACTCAACATTGACTCTAGACCCTTGAAATCTTAAGGTATAAAGTCAAATACGGGCAAGGAAATATCCTGTTGCTTAACACCCACATTGCCCCAACCCGCACTGGACGATGAATCAGTGCATCTTCCGTGGTGAACACTACTTGAGGGTTGTCAGGGCACAGAATGTCTCTAGGTGGAGGACTTCAACATCTATTGCCACAGGTTGATTGGAAGCACCATGACTGACTAAGCTGGTTGAGTTTGAAGGACAGCTGCTCAACTGGGCCTGAGCCAGGAGGTGAGGGAATAATCTGCTTGCTCTCATCCTCACTGATCTATCTGTTGCAGATGAATCTGTTCATGGAAGTGCTAGAAGTATTACCATACTGCTAAATGGAATCAATTTCAAACTGAAACTTAGCATCTGTGAGACTGGTGGTGTGGTGGTTAGTGAAGAAGGTTATCTCAGAGCACAAAGATACCTTGATCAGATGGGCCAAGGAGTGGCAGATAGAGTTTAATTCAGATAAATGTGAAGTTGCATTTTCATAACGCAAATCAGGGCAGGACTTATACACTTAATGGCAGTGTCCTGAGGAGTGTTGCTGAACAAAGAGATTTGGGGTGCTGATTCATTGTTCCTTGAAGGTGGAGTCACAGGTAGACAAGGTGGTGAAGAAGGCGTTTAGTACACTTGCCTTTATTGGTCAGTGCATTGATTATAGGTGTTGGGAGGTCATGTTGTGACTGTACAGGACATTGATTAGGCCACTTTTGGAATACTGCGTGCAATTCTGGTCTACCTCCTTTAGGAAAGATGTTGTTAAACTTGAAAGGGTGCAGAAAAGATTTACAAGGATATTGGCAGGGTTGGAGTGTCTAAGCTACAGGGTGAGGCTGAAGAAGCTAAGGCTATTTTCCCCAGGCTAGTGGAGTCCAAAACTAGAGGGCATAGGTTTAAGGTGAGAGGGGAAAGATTTAAAAGGGACCTAAGGGTCAACTTTTTCATGCAGAGGACGGTGCGTGTATGGAATGAGCTGACAGAGGAAGTGGTGGAGGCTGATACAATTGCAACATTTAAAAGGCATCTGGATGGATACATAAATAGGAAAGGTTTAGAGGGATATGGGCCAAATGCTGGCAAATGAGACTAGATTAATTTGGGATATCTGTTCGGCATGGACAGGTTGGACCAAAAGTTCTGTTTCCTTGCTCTATGATACTATGGACATCAGCAGCAGCAGCAGAATTCTATTAAACGACAATTTGTAACATCCTGGCACAGCATATTCTCCACTCAACTATAACATCACATTTGCAGAAGCCATACTAGGCATACCTATACATGAGGTTTCAACCTGATGAAGCTACATCACAGGTTCAGAGATAGTAGGAACTGCAGATGCTGGAGAATCTGAGATA